TCTGCTATCAGCTAAGTCGTTTATGGGTTTTACCAATCAGAGAGAAGCCACGATGAGAAAGTGGTTGTACAGTGCCAGAGGGACAGCAAGTATGCAGAAGCACGCCACATGGAGGAAAGAAGGAGAGCAGTGGCAGAGCACCAGCAAGAGCATGCTAGTCTATAAAGAAAGTCGAGCGGCACATGTCCGCTTGCCAGTGCATGTAGAGAAGCGCAGATGCTCGCACGTTTTAGCCGACTTGTATGCTCAGCACGCTTCTAGCAATGGAAGAGGGCAAATATACACGTATGACTCCATAGCGCAATGTAAAGCGATCAGGGTTGCTCCTCTCTACGTCTTTCCGCTGTCTTTCACGGGCGCAGCAACACCAACAGCTAGCAGAGGCACTTCCCGATGTTTGCTCACTTTCTCTAGTTCGTTCGGTTGCTTCACTCAAGTACCGAAAGACCACTGTGCGGGATAGCGAAGACACAGACCTGCAGCATGCGCCTGGTCATCCACGGGAGGATGCTGCAGAGTTTCACTCCCCTGCTCACCGAAGTGCGACTGTGGCGACAATGCTGAGTCTCTTTCTGTGACCAGGTCGTAGTACACAAACAAGTGCGACACGTAAAAGTACGATAGCAAACGGCGCAGCTCATTCGCGGAGACCACCTCGCCGTAGCAATCGGTCACCACAGAGCCGTTGCTGAACACAGTCGCGGCGCCTCCTCGCAATGCTGTGTTTTGCGTGGCGCCGTCCCCAGTTCGCTCGCCACTGCCGCCGTCAGCACCACGACCACCACCTCCAGCAGCGGCAGCACCGCCTTCGGCGCGCGGGCGTGACGACATGCAATGCGGCACCGCGTAGTACCGCTCATAGACGTACTCGAGTGAACGCGAGTTCAGCAGATAGCACAGCTGTGGCAGCACCTCAATCACAAACTCAAAGGAGTACGTCTCGCCAGGGTGCAGAATAAAAGGTGGCCGCTCCTCACCCACCACGACTGGTGTAAGGGTGACAAGCTTCGTCAAGAGGTCAATGGTGCGCATGCTGGACGGGTCCGCGCCAGGACGAATCTCGCCCCACAACGGGCTCGTTGTGAAGTGCGGCTCGGCCTCGTCCCCCGGCAACGCAGCGCCACTGCTTCCACCGACGCCACTGACCTCCCCATCGCGCAGCACGCGTGAGGAATGCAAATCAAGAGAGGTGCTGTAAAGCCGCGCAGCGCTCGTCATCACGTTTGTAAGGGACAGATTCAATACGAGACGGTCGTTGCTGAGCGGCGAGGTGGAAGAAAGGCAGAGAAACGACTCCATAAACTCTACGGGGATAACGCCGCTGCCCAGCACAAGCGCCGCTGCAGCAGCTGTCTCTACGTGCGTGTGGCCGAGACTGTGCGCCAGTACCGATCGCAGGACCGACGGCTGATTGGGATCCACCGGATCGGCCATCCGCGTGTAGTCGAAGCTCAGAGGCAGCAGCACCACCATCACAAGTGTGGTGTCCATGCCGCGCAACGACGCAGCTTCCAAATCCGGCAGTGCTAACTCTACCGTGAAGCCGCTTTCCAGACGCTTGGGCAGCGCAGTATGTGCACCGGAGGCCGAGACAACACAAGGATCATTCACACCAGCAGAGACTGTCTGCACCTTCCCGATGACCTCACAACGCATACCGGTTGTGCCACAACTGCTTTCGGCGTTAGCGTCACCCGTGCTGTTGCCACTGCTGTTGGAACAAGAAGGGAAAGCAGTAGTGGTGCAATACGGTATCCGCATCTGCAGGTCCACCAACGACTGAAGGTTTGTGGATGCAAACATACCTGTTGGGGACGAGCCGCGCAGCGTGCCGTACACATACTCCAGCGCCTCCACAGCGCGATTGGCGCGGGTGTAGCTGTGGTTCGACCAGAACGCAGGCACGCCAAAAACAAAGTTGTTGCCGGTGTTGCTCAGTAGGCATGGGACTGATGACATCGCTGGAGAGCTCACTTTCTGCGACAGCAGCGCACGCGGCCCACTATGAACAGGAGTTGCTTCGGACTTGCTCACGAAAAACGGCACGAATTGCACCGTGCTAAACAGGTACGTCCAGGCTGCTTCGAGTGAGTGAATGCCCACTAAAGCCAGGAACGCTTGAGCGGTCTGCTCTTTCTCTACATCACCTTCCTCATTGTCGTACGTGATGGTGAGCCGAAACCGTAAGATCTGACTAGAGACCACCTTCAGCTTGCTCGCCTCCCCTTTCGGCGATGGCGCTGCAGCGGATGTGCTACTGCATGTTGGAACGGGCACAAAAGAAACCTTCAAGATAGAGTGAAGGTAGTCCATGGGGCCAAGTGCACTGAAAGAAGGTGAGATGCTGCTGTTTTAGCCTGAGCACCTAAAGTGTCTCAAAGCCAGGACAGAAAAAAAAAGTACGCGTACGATAGATACTCCTGCCAGATACACCTTGTGAAGTACTTTAAACTGTTGTGACTAAACACTACTTGATTGTTTGATTGAATGACGTTCTTTT